AACGAATCGAATTCGTGAAACTAACGTGTTCTTTTTTTTTTTTTATTCTATATTTCATTATTAAGTAAAATAATAAAATTTGAAAAAAATATCAAGAAAAAAGAAGTGGAAAAGTTTCTTCCTCGAGATATTAAATCCATTAAAGAAAGTCGATAGAAGTGTTTTTATCAGTTGTTAAACACTTTTAGTGATTCTTTATATTTTTGTAATTTTAATTCCCGCTATCGTTTAGAAAGATCCAAGAATAATTAATTTTTTTTTTCGTTATTTTGAATAAAAACTTCACAGACAGGAAATTCCTGTTTATCACTTGAATTGTCAAGTATGTTACAATTACAACACATAATATTGCTTAACAAATAGTTTACTCATTTAGTAATCGGAAATACTTAATAATCCTTGTGATCATCGGTCTCTTTTATGTTAATGTGACAAAACTCTGATAAAGATAAAGATGCTAATTTATATGCGCCAAAATGCCGCGAGTGTGCTATTTGCTTAACTGCAAGTGTTAGATTTTTCTTATCTCCCGTTATTTTCGAAAAACGTTCAAAGAAGAACTGTGAGAAAAACTTTTAGCTTGGAAGATTTTTAGTTAATAATAAGAAAAATTCACGTTTACTTATTTCAACAATCATATTTGCTCGCAAACTTTTTAATAAATTATTAAACAAATTACATTGGATAATTATTAAATACAAATATATTGAATCAACTAATAATTTCATCGATTTTACGGATAATTTCGACATCTGGTAAATTATCGTCGAATGCAAACTGTGTACAATAATATTAATATTAATTACGCGAAATACAAATTGATTTGTGATGTAAATCTCGTTAATACGTTAAATATTTGAATTTCGCAGTTCGAAAGTATTACATATCGTATTCCGATTATAAAACGATCAAAACAAAAAAAAGATTGTTAAATTATTGAAACACGAGAGAACGTATCATTATAAGCGTAATTACGACGATTATCACTAAATAACTCGATCCTTAATCCGATTGACGATCAAATACCTACTTTAATCGTCAAACGTGTCTTTTCACGTCGATTAAATAATCGTTTATCGTAAAATTTGATCAAATATCCTTCGATCACTGATCGAGATGATAAAATCGGCGCAATAATTTCTATCTTAGGCCCCTATCTGTAAAACTAGTTTCATTCTCGTATCGAACATCATAACATCTTCTCCTTTCGAGGAAAAAACAAAAAGAAAAAAAAAGGAGAAAAAAATAAATACCACACCTCAATCAGTTGCATTTGATTTTTATCTATCGTATCACACACTTCTATAACGCGCCGTATCGGAATCGAAACTCGACCAATGAAACGGATATCGATTCCAACTTAAACACACGCGAAAAGACAACGAGGAAGGGGAGGAGGAGGAGGAAGTTTCGAGGGGAACGCAATAATACCCCCCATTGTCCTGCGATCCCGTGGAGATCGAAAAAGTTTTCGAAATTTCATCAATTAACCAAGCGATAACCCGTGATGGCCAGCTGTTGTGACCGGACGATCTCTTTCAGAATTTTCGAACGGAGACGAAATCGTATCGTCGCGCCTTCGAGCGAAGAGATTAAATCGATCGCGGATTTAGCACACCGGTACACGCCGTGTATTGCAGATCTCCGCCAGACATTGTGCGCAGTGTGTGTGCACAATGCTCCATCGCGAAAAAAAACATCCCTCTTTTTGAAGGATCGAAGGATCGTCGCAATCGTTCGTCATCTTGAAAATTCATTTTCCCCGAATTCGAAGTCGAACCTTGTCCATCCGCAACAAAAAAAAAAAACACAACACCTTTCTTTCATCTTCTACTCGCGAACCTACCTAATTCACAGCTCCTCCCCTGCCTCTCGGTTTCTTCTCTTCACGGCCATTCCACGTACGACCGAGCATCCTCGTTTCGAGAGAGAGAGAGAGAGAAAAAAAAGAGGTAATCTTCTGAGGCAAATCTTCCGTCGCACACCGATTGATTTACGATCGAGAACCTCGCTCGTCGATTACGCTCGACGTTACAAGATAACGTTCGTTCATCGTTACTTTTCTACTTTGTTCCGCTTCGATCGGCATTCAATCTTCGATAGATCCACGATACGAAAACGAATCCTTCCTTCGATCGTTTGCCCAACCGATCCGAAAATCCTTGCCTTTTCTTCCTCTATTATTATTTCGATACCACCAGATTCTCGATCCCGTGATCGTTCCTTTTATCTTTCGTAAAAAAATACCTCGCGTTATAGTTGTTCACCGATTCGTTCAAATAGCATATAGTAAAAATTCACAATTCAAGATAGATCACCACCATCGAAAGCGCGATCCATCGAAATGCACCGTACGCTGGTCGTTATTAATCTCACCACTTACAGTTAAAACATATTAAATTTGGTGGAAATCAACAAGTTCAGAGGAGACAGAGGAGGACAGAGGCGAGCACCGTCCGAGAAGTGGCGGAACACGCTGTGGCCGTGTTTTCGGCACGGCGATCGCGCGCGTACTGAAAATCCCGGTAACCACCCCCATCGACCCTCTCCGAACCGCCCCCGTTCTAATACAGACACCTCTCGCCGTGTGTGCACGCCACTGCGAAACCGTGTAAGCATTTGGGACACGCATATCGCCACGATTTTCCAAACACTTTTCCAAATTTGGAAAAAATTTGCCCCTTCTTGAGTTTTGGTTTCTTCTTTTTTTCGACGACAGTCGAATAATAGTCTACGACGTTTTGTATACGATTATTGGGCCGGGTGTGAGCCGAGCGTGTTTCGAGGAGGAAAGTTTCGAGATGCGCGGTTCCAGAAATAGGGAAATGGGGGATGGCTCGCGGTCAGGCGGCGCCTCTGTGAATCCCGTGGAGAGTAATTGTCATTGAGAGATTTGTCGTCGAGAGAAGGTGGATCGAACGAATTTAATGCTATCGTCACGGTCCAGCTCGCTTCATTCATTGCTCTCCATTCGTTCGTATTCCTCGAACGCGTGTGTTTCACGTTTATAAAGAGGGGATTTCTTCTTGTTTCGATTTCGAATTTCGCTCTCGTGTTAATCTTAATATAATTAAGCGATGATCGACGATTGCAGGATTATTTTGCGAAACGAAGACTATGCTTTTTTAATCTTTTGGATTAAACGTGTGAAGAATATAATTGCGTCGACGATCGTTGGAAGAGGTATAAGTGAACGAATAATTCTTATTCTAAGAATTTCATTTCCACGTGTTTTCCGAGTTGAGATTGCAAAACAGATTTTGCACATTGTGTTGCAAATGCGTTTCTCAAATGTTTAGCTTATCCTTTAACGCTAATATTCGTTTAGATTTATAAGAATGAAACGTTATTCGAGATAATATAAAAATACAAGAAAATCGTTAGATTAATTGATATCAATGTATATCTTTATTTCTAAATACGCAAACAAATCTATCGATTATCCAATTTTACTAGTTATAATATATATATTTTAACGTAAAATAATTAAAATATATTTTATTATATAGATAATAATCAAAGTAAAAATCGATACGAATTGAAGGTGTATAAGAAAGAAATTCAATTTTTGAGAAAAGAAAAAATTTTCTTGTTCTCTTTGCTAGAAAAATTTCCTTCGTTTTTTTTTTTCAATTTTTTTCCAAAAATCGATTTACACCTCTACTCTCGTAACGAATGGTGTCAGAATGGAACAGAAACCGCGAAACGTATTTTCGTAAAAGGTATTTATAGGCGGGAAAGGTAGTTACAATTTGTGACAAAAAAAAAAATATGTCATATTAAACAGTAACTCGATTTAATTATTGGATCTGGACGGTAATTTGAAAATCACTAACTCGAAATTGTGCGATCAACTATGCCACGAATATTGACATTGCTGCACGTGCACGTGCATAATTACACCTCTAAAATTTCACGTTCAACATTGGCACGCCGGTGTATATAAACGAGCGATCACTCGAACGAGATCACTTTTATTTACCATGTTCGCCAACTGTAATAGGTTTCAGTATCGTCGAGAGAAATGAAATATAAATAGAGCAGCAAAGAATTTTCTAGGTAAAAAATATGGATCGTTGTTATTAACTAGCATAGGCAATGATATTTTATTCAATTTACATTTATAATATATTAAAAACGAAATTCTCTTATGGAAAACAGTTGTTGGAAAATTTTTATCGTTCGTTCGATTCACAATTTTGTTGTTCACAAAGTTCAAGAAAACTTTACTTACATTTAAACTTTATTCATTTTATTAGATTGTGAAATGATTTGATTAAAATAAAGAAGAGTAAGAAGTTATACATGTGGATGTAGATCATACACGCGATTTAAAAAAGACAAAACAGAATCGAAACAGCGATCGTGGCCAGATTGATACCCAGATTCACGCACAAATATCCAAGATACGAGTCGCATGTTTACATATACATATATAAACTCGACATTTTATATATAGTTACATACGTACAACCTTCGAAAATTGTCGAAGAAAGAAAGCAAGAAGTTCATTGATTGCTATTCGATTGCTCGACAAAGTTTCAAACGTCTCGTATTCCGTAAACTTCGAACTTTCAAAGATGCTTTAATGGATCTCGAGAATAAAATCCTTTTCCCCTTTACGTTGTCCAATAATTTTCGATCGAAATGATCCGTAACGATAAAACACCATTCTATTTCTCATTTCTTTTTCTCATCGAATAATCGAATTTTTAAATATTTAACGCGAATCCAAGATTATGCAATTTTATCATTAACCTCTAATTATAATCTAAAGACGCATACAAGGATGGATCAAATCGTTATTCAAAATGAGCAGGGATTAAAATGAAGAAATTTGTAGAAATTTATGATAATTTAATTATATATTTAACACATCGACGAATCTTTATCTGCTCAACAATTTTTAACAAAATTGTAGGCGTTAGATTTTTGCATATTATGAACAATTATTTATTTATTAATTATTCGTATGGGATGCTCCAATGATTCGTTCGCTTGGATTATTTGGCTCGATTCTTTATTCGTTAGATTCAACATTGCTCGGTTCCGGAGTTACTTGACAGTGCGCCGATTGTGGCCAATCGCAAATCTTTAACTCGGCATTGAATTCAAGTCCTGAATTACATTTCATCAAGAATGCCGTTCCTCTGTTGCAAGCGTAATATGATGTACAATCATTTGGATTTGGAAGTAGGATTATTTCGTCCTCGACTTCATTCGGCGGGCATTTAGGTGGCGCGGTTGCGGAAACGAGGGCCACCGAAATAGCGGCGAGAGATAGCGCAAGTATCGCTGAAAAAATGTGATTTTGTTGTTGTCATAATGCTGGTATGGTAATTTTTGAAAGATTCGAGAGGCAAAGATTCGATATGCGGGTCAAGCGGGTTTCCTACTCTTTGACGCGTCGTCAACTTTTCAACCAAAAAAATATGAAAGATAAAAAAGAGTTTGCCTTTGCATAAGCATAAGTTCAGCGCAAGTGTCGTCGAAACCATTTTCAATCTCGTTCGAATTGTTTTTTACTACTTAAGTTATTATTTATCGAAAATTAATATCCCCGATTGAGAAAAAAAGAAAGGACACGAGAAAATACGTTTTGCAAACATGATATATAGATTTAGAATCAAATGCACGTGAAATTTGTATTATTGACAAACAGAGAATTATAATTGAATATTTTTTATTGAATAAAAAATAAGTTTACCTTTCATCTTTGAATCGTAGCTTGTTCGTGATACAGCGTGTAGCGTGATTGTTTAACAATATCGATATCTATCTATCCTCTTATATATTTTTCGTCAACCTTTTTTTCATATTTTATCGTTACACATTGCAATCGTTTATCGACATTTTTTTAACATCTGATAAGTATAATAAAAGTAAAATAAAACAACGGATGACAAATATTCTTTGAACCATCATAGGTTTTCTTTTTCTTATTTTTATATAGATCTTACTACACTCTGTGTCATGTTTCTAACTTAATATCAATTTAAACGATATATAGATAACGCGAATGTTACAAAATTAATTGAACTTAATAAATCACTTGTAACTATTATTCCATTTACGTTATTATTCATTTTCTGTTAATTGATAGTTTATCTTACCGATATTATTGTATATCGATAAGAATTCACTGTGATAAATTATTTTTTAACGGAAGATGATTTTCATTATAAATAATAAATTATTGTTATAGAAATAAAAATTATTAAGCTCTTTAATTGCATATAGATTTACATATTTGATAAGTAAAAATTCTCGATTAATATTAGGGAGGAAAAGAAACAGGAAAAATGGTATGTTTTAGTAAAAAAAAAAAAAAGTTTAGTAAGTTTTTCAAACGTTAAAATTAAAATTAAATTATCGAAAAAGTATCAGATTCGATTCTGCCGTTAAAATCTTTGATATAAAGTGGGATAAATGTAGTTAGTACAGTGATGCAGCAGGCGAAATTGGTGACCTCGATCTAAGAAAAATTAGGGAAAATACAAAAATAGCAACCAGAAAGAAAGATGTTTCAATTACGATTATTATGTTTAATTTTATTTAATCTCTACATATCTTCCATCGTTTTTTTTTTTTTTCGTTTTTATCATGCACCAATTATCAATATTATAATCAACAAATCCATAATATTTCGCTATTCTTCTTTAAAAATTATTCTAATTGTTTAACATGTGATAACATTTTCACGCGACTTAATTTTTTTTATTTTTTATATTATATTTAAGTGTAATGTAAATATAATATTTTGTAATTTTTTTTTTTAATTAAATTAAATTTTTTGTTATTTTAATCTGCCAATTATCAAATATTTGATAATTGATTAAAATCGGGAAATGATTTATTTTTATCACTCTTCGTGATTTTTACATACATCCTTTTTTTTTTTTTTTATTTAGAATTTTCACAGCACAATAATTTATGATTGTACTTTCAAAAAACTCATCGAATTTAGTCCATTTTTCAAAACAACGAATGAAACAACATACGAATGGAACACGATGGATAACACTATTAATAAACGAAACCATATATAGTTTTGGTACCTGAAAAATAATCAATCAATACTCTCTTGTTTCTTTATTTCTTGCTTGTCTGTTTTTTTTTTTTTTTTTTTTTAAGCGAATAGACGCAATAGATATATATAAATAAATAATATTGGTATTCACATTACATGAAAAATATATATATATTTCTAAAATGATGATTTAGAAAAATACGGTATAGAATTTAGATTAGATTTAGATTCTAATGTTTAATATAAATTTAGATCAGTTTAAGATTTATGTTAGGTTTATGTTTATAAAATTCGCTTTTTGGGTCAGGTTTATGTTTTTCATCATTGATCTGAATATTCGATTATTTTTCATTTATTTTTCATATATTCTTTGTAATAAACAAAAGTCGAATAGACGCAATAGATATATATAAATAAATAATATTGGTATTCACATTACATGAAAAATATATATATATTTCTAAAATGATGATTTAGAAAAATACGGTATAGAATTTAGATTAGATTTAGATTCTAATGTTTAATATAAATTTAGATCAGTTTAAGATTTATGTTAGGTTTATGTTTATAAAATTCGCTTTTTGGGTCAGGTTTATGTTTTTCATCATTGATCTGAATATTCGATTATTTTTCATTTATTTTTCATATATTCTTTGTAATAAACAAAATAATCATTATTTTCCCTTAGATTAATTGATTGATATAAAATGATAAAATTTGTAAATTTTACGAAATCTTTCACGATTCTAGAATACATATAGATGAAGATAATAGGTAGAGACACGTTATTCACATAAAAATGTTTGTCATTTGGATGATATTATAAAAAATTTATTTATTATAAGAAAACAATAAATCTTATTTCTCTTTCAAAATAATTTAGCTCAAAATTAATATTATGCATTTTTTACAAATGAGTTTATCCAAATTTTTTTCTGTCTCTTTTTCCCCTTCATCAGAATTATTTATTTTAGTAATTAAGCAATGGAAATATAATAATTATTTTATTTCAGAATTAATTTTTTTATTATCATATATATTTTGTATAAAACGTTACATATTTATATTTAAACTTAATGTTTATAAATATATACATAAATATTTTTTCCAGAAGACAATATACAAGATAGTAACAAGTTAGTTATCCAAAAATATAAAATACTTTCTTAAATTATAATTATAATGCCTCACGTACATAAATGCTTTTATTTTAAGTTCCAATAGTTTACTGTTTTCGGTTAATTGATCAAGTGAATAACAAGATATTGATTGCAATGTACCTATCAAGAATGCTTATATCTAATAGTCTTAATTTTTATTTTATATATATATTTTTTAGAAAATAGAAGAACAGTTCAGAATTCAATAAAGTTCAATAAAGTAATTTAATAAACTCGATTTAAATCGATCGATTTAAAATACAGAATGAACAGGATCAAAATTCTTCATTAGGAAACTAAAAAATAATCATATTCATTTTGCTGTAAAAATATAAATATAAAAATATAAAAAAAAAAGAATATCGATACTTACTTAACTATCGAAGAAATAAAGAAAAAAACAATTCGATTATTCATTATATAACAAGATTTTTCCATACTTTCATTTTTCCATATTTTACTATCATGTTGGATACACGTATATATATACGTTTGTATATTTTTGACAATGTTCTTTACATCGTACATAATATATAGAAATAAGTGCAATGATCAATTGTGAATCGACGATTGATAAAGAATTATTTTATTACACAATATTATGAAATTATTTTAATATATATGAATGGACATCAATTGCACAAAGATGTGATACTATATACTACGTGACAAATTGATTTTTCGGATCAGTATCATCCATGAGAGCATCAAATCCAAGACTAAATTTAGCATTTATTGGTGTAGAAGTATTTTGAAATATTGTTTCTTTGTAATTTATTCTTTGATTAAGAGGAATATAAGATTCATTTATATCGGCAAATTCATCTATTTGATCACAATTTACATTATTTTTTGAATATTCGTTAAATTTCGATTGAAAATTATTTACGTTATCAATTGTTTTTAAAATTTCAGCATCTTTTTCACATAAATTATTTTCATCTATATGCATATCTTCTTTAACATTATATTGAAAAATTTTTCGACTACATATATTATCGATTATTTCTGACATGTTTAAATCATGATCATTATCACTCATGAAATCATCTGGCGAAAGTTCATTAAACATCTTATCCAACGTATTATTTAATTTTGGATTCATGTTTTCTAACTGCAATATTTTATTAAATTGTGGACCACGTTTTATTTTATCATTCTTTTCCTGACTTTTTTTTTCTTGTGAACAATCTAATATTTTAGATCTTTTTGGTGTAATACTCATCCTTCTTAAAGATTCTTCTAATGATATAGGATTATCTTTCATAATGAAATCATCAATTTTTCTATTATTTTCTGCATTTGTTAATAATTTTTCAGTTTTTTTCTGACGTCTTTTTTCTGCTTTACGTTTACCATCATTACCATCTGTAATATTTTTCACTTTACTTTTAGGTTGACGCTTTTTTATTTTCTTCGCATTTCTTGCATTTTCAAATATTTCAACTAATTCTGGATAACATTTCTGTACAGCATTCTGTGGTTCAATACTTGTTAATTCAGATAAAATATCTATATTAATCTCATCACTTTCATTATCTAATGCCATATATTCTTTAATTTTTTCTATTATAGTATGATCAGTTTTCCAAATAATTTCATAACTCGCAACACTCCTAATATTTCGAATTTTTTTTATTCTTTAGGTATGTATAAATCAGGTATTACTAAACGATTTTCAGCAGAGATATTTGGAAGATGTACTAATTGCCAGCGAGTTGCTAAAGGAAATATTTTTTCAAATGCATAATGTGGTTCCCATGATAAATGTCGTTCCATGAAAGCCTAATATGGATAAATTATAATATAAACATAATTCAATAATAAAATATTATAAAGTTTTATATAAAAACTTACTATAAATTCATTCACACGTGGTTGTTTCCATTGAATATCTATTTTCTTAGGTACTGGATCTTTCCTAAGAAGATATTCATCTATTAATTCCTGATTTGGAAAATTTTCAACAAGAAGTGCTTTTTTTCGTAATGTAATTTCATTTAATAATAATGCTTTTTTTCCTAAAAAAAAATATAATGAAATAAATAATATACATATATATGTATTATAACATATATATATGTATTTAATTAATAAAAAGTAAAACAAAAGTAAAACAAAAGTAAAACAAAAGTAAAATAAAAAGTAAATTAATGTTATAAATTAAAATATACCTATAAGAATTATTACACTTCACAACTGTACCACAATCTATACAACCTGATTTTGCATGTTTTTGAATTTTACCATTATGTCCACAAGATGAACATAAGTTTGAATTCAATAATTCTGCTTCCTTATGATCTAAAGTAGTATCAGTTTTCCAACTCTTTATTCTAAAAGAAAAAATCATATTCTTATATAATAATAATATCATATTCTTATATAATATATTTCAATATATTTCAATTTATATTTTATACCGTTCAATAATATCTTTATTTTCTACAATTTTAAAAAGCTTCATAGCAGCTTCCTTGCCAATTCCATTTAATCCATCATCATAGTCACAGCCACACAATAAAGCTAATACTATCATCTTATTCCTTCCTAGTTGCAATACTTTCTCTATTTTTTCTAGTCTATATTCATCTACAGCACCTCCTGTACCTCCACGATTTCCTTGGGCACTTGTACAAAAATTTCTATAAACTACTTTTGCTCCATATAAAAAACAATCACTATCTTGGCTTATACATCCATCAACAAGCTATATAAATATTTATAAAAATAAGAATTAATCATGATTCATATTCTATGAAATATATTGTATTATATAAATATATTGTAATTCACAGAAATACAATATTACTCCATCTTCATTTAAATATGCACACATTGCTTCTGCTTCCCCATGTCCTTGCACACATGCTAAACCCATATATTCAAGCATTTCCTTGCATTCATTGAGGATTTTTTTTAAATTGGGTTCTTCCTTTTCTTTGAATTAATTTTTTCTCTTGAAAACCAGAACGAATATCATTTCTTTTAGCAATTGTATTATATTTCAGTGCAGGTGCTTTTCCTTCTAACACAAATACCGGTGATATTCCTTGCATAAGGAGAAATATTGTACGAAAATAGAGATTCCTACAATAATTATTTAATTTTATTTAATTTTAATTTAAAAAAAAATAATAAATATTAGAACTTGAAATATAAAAACTCACAAACCTAAGATACATTTTTGGTTGAACATAATGATCAACTATTGTTTGACTATCTACAACCCAACAACTAAGGTCAATAGCTATTGTTTTTCCTTGAAGTTCAAATAATGGTTTTCTCTCGCATAAAGGAGATAAAATATTCCAAAGATCTTTTACTCCCATTTTTATAACTTTAAATTAGAGTTTGTAAACAAATTTTCATAACGAACTTTTTCTGTTTTCTAGGGTTCAAATGATGTTATATATAGAAAATAAAAATAAATCCCTATTTGGTCCAATATATAAATCCCTATTAACATTAAATTGAACTTTCTCTCTGTAAAATATAAATTACTTTTTTTAATAAAATTTTTTCTCATATTATAATTAAAATTATTATGTTATTATATATAATTTTTATTCTTTATGTTTTTTGAAGTATAAATTTTCAAAAGTATAAATATTAACTAAATATAGATAAGAAAAACAAATAGTGAGATAAAGATAAAAGTAAAATAAAAATATTGAAATCAACGCCATCTCAAGAGTCCGCAAATGAAACACAAAAGAAGGACAGTAAATAGTAAGAAAAAGATAGAAATAGAGTAAGAATTGAGCATTAACGCCATCTCTTGAATGTCAAAAATATTTTTTCAAAACAGAAAATAGAACAAGAATTAAGGATCAATGTCTCTTGAGGATTTCTACGAAAATTATTTAAAGAAAATTTAAAAATATCATTAATTTTCAAAAGATAGCATTGAAAATTATATATATTGAGAATATTCAATCTCTATTTTTTTCCTATAATTTGTCTGTTTTGTTTTATTTATAGTATTTAAGATGATGCTACTTTTCGAATTTTTACTGTCTTTCTTTTTCCATTGTTTTCTTTTTCTTTGAAATGGCGCCAAATTATTCATAAATTATCATATATCTATGTTTCTTCCAACATTTATTATTATTTATTATTCTTGTAACCTAAACAATATAAAGATATTTTATGTTATAAACATTTTTAATATATCTAATATTGAGCAATTACATAAAAATTATGAACAATTTCAAAAAATATTCTACTTAAATACATCTTCAAGATATTTTATAAATCAAAACAAATTTGTTATAAATGTAAAAAGTATATTTTTTATTAACAAAAGACATTCGATAAACATCACACTTTGTTATTTATTTGACGTCAAAAGAATTAATTTCAGACTAGTTTTATATACTTTACTATTTTACAATATTTTACAATGCTATAAGTAAATTCACTGCAAAACGAATGCTATTTTTTTTTTTTTTTATACAAAATACGATATATTTAATGATGATATATTTTTTTTCAAGAAACAAGTATATAGATGATGATGATATAAAATTCGGAAAATTTTCTTTATGATTTCATAGAAATTATTAATTTAAATAATATATGTGATATTTAAAAATTATTTAAAAAATTAAATTAGTTTTTTCATTTTTAAAAGAATTAGTTCTTTTTTTTTAATCAGATTCTGATCCTGAACTGACATCTGATTCATATTCATCTACATTAATAGTAAATTTGTATTCTTGATCGCAACCTAAATAAGCATCACTCATAAAATATAGAGTATAGGAATGTTGACCAGGAGCAGGTGCTACAAAATCGAGTTTAACTTTTGCCTTTTGCTGTAATGTTAATCTCTTAATAGATAACAAAGAATTAGTCTTTGGATCACCAATAACAACCCACCATCCTTCTTCACGTTTTTGTGGGAAGAAAGGTGCTACAACTGGACCTGTAACTTCATCTTCTCTTTCAAGCTGTACAATGACATTTACTGTACCACCACTGCGTAATTTATCTTTATCCTGAACTTCATAAGACATTTCTATGTTAGGATAACGATTACAAAATTTAGCAACATCTGCCATTTGTGTCTCGGATAATTGTAAAAGACGATTTCTATCGTCATCTTCTAACTCCATTACATCAAACACTGTTTCTACACCTTTATCTGTACAACGTTTAATAGTTTCAGCTGTAAAATGTGGTAATTGTTTGAGATAAGAATCCTTAGACCACATTGCTTGTGTAACCATTTGTGCTAATTCCATAGCAGCTACAGCAGGAGCTAGCCAACCAGATGAACTGAGAACATCAACGCAAGCTTGTATTAATCTTATAGCTTTACTTAATACTAATTCTGTATCTTTTTGAAGTTCTGGACCAAGTTGTATTCTGGATAAATGTGCTTGCAATAAAAGTTGTGCTTTTACATGAGGATCAGCCATTCTTGAAGCTTGAGGTGCATGTGGAAGCCGTGTTGCTAAGCTTCTTAATAAGTTTTCTTCACGTTGTCGAACTGGAACAGTTTCATATTCAGCAGCTGCTGAAATAATTTCCAATAAACCTCTGATTTTAGTTTTATTATTTAAAGATAGACTAAATAATTCAATTGTTGCATAATTAATATAATAATATGCTGCAATCATTCCAAGATTTAAAGGTAAAGTATCCATTTCATCTTCTACAGCAACACATTTTGCTTGTTCTAAATCACTTAATGTGCTTTCAACTAATTCAGATAAATGATCAGATAAATGCCTGTGAGTAACACCTTGTAATCCATAATAATTTGGGTTTTGTGTAAGTCGTCTATATAAGAATGTCCATGTAAGATAATCAACTGCATCTTGTTTATTTTCGATTGTTTTAGTCACAATTTCTGCATTAAAATGATCGTGCAATCTATGATCCAAATGACTTTCTACAGGTAAAGGCTCATTCAAAAACTTCTTGAAAAAGTCTTTCTTTGAACTTTGACAAAGAAGGACACATTTAGCATCGTCATCTTCCAACGGACGATTTGCGCGTGCTACCATTTGTAAAACATCTGTAATAGGATAATCTTCGTAAGCATGTGTTTTTCCATTGTAACATTGAGTATCCATCACAACAACAAGATGGGAGCTAATAGATAAACCCCAACAGAGATCTCTTGTAGCAACTGCTATTTGAATTGCACCGCTATCGAAAAGTTGTTCAACAAGATGTCGATCATCAACAGACAGTCCTTCGTGAAGATACGCAACACCTTGTGATAATGTTTCCTTCAATGTTTTATCTGTCATTCTATCTAAAAATGGTTTAATATCAGCTTCTTCTGCATGAAAAAATCGAGAAGGTTGTCCTTCAGCTGCAGTGAATGTTAATAAATCTATAGCTGTTAATCGGGCTTGACGACGAGTCGGTACAAAAACAATAACTGGTTTATGGGAAGCATGTCTAAGTATTGCATTATATACTGGCTTTGCCATAGCAGCTAATCTAGATGCATTATGAGTAATATTTATTCCTTGTACATGTAATTCTAAAGGTACAGGTCTAACAGATGGATGAAAATTAAAAGTTGCAGCAGCGGGTGCACCTAACCATTGTGCAGCATCTTTTGCATCAGCAAGTGAAGCTGATAATGCTATAATTCTAGTTGGTTTATCTAGTTGTGAAGAGATATATCGAGCTCTTGAACATGCAACTTCTAATACAGGTCCTTCTTCACCACCAATTAATTGAAGTTCATCAACAATAAAAAGTTGAATATTTTGTACATTTTTTCTTTGTTTCCATCTTCGTGATAATACATCCCACTTATCCGCAGTTGTGATTATAATTTGTCCCTTTGCAAGCAATTTTAAATCTGTTCCTGTTTCACCAGTCAAAAGAACTACTTTTCTGCCTAATTGTTGATTAAATTTTGCTGACCAATCCATGTATACTAATTCTGCTAAGGCTTCTTTACTAACCATATATACACATCTTCCTTCTGGATTCTGAGTAAATAAACGTAATACGGCAAACTCTGCGATAGTTGTTTTGCCTGAACCTGTAGGTGCTCCAACAAAGACATTATCATCTGAATTATAAATAGCATTGAATACTTGTGTCTGAATTGGATTAAATTGTGGAAATTTATCTGCATAAATGCTTTCAAATTTTGAATTACGCAATGCAGTAATTGGAAGTGGTTGTAAATCAAGCAATTCAGTTGGTGGTAAATTTTTTTCTGGTAGAATCAAATGTCGGAAACTAACGGGCAATTGAGTTTCCGCTCCAATCCATCTATCTGATACAACACGTAAAAAATATTGTGGTGGCAAAGGTTCAAATACAGGAACAAAAAATTTTATTAAATGTTCATCTGTTGCATATTTGGCTTTAAGTAAAAAATATTCATGATGAAGTATAACTTCAGAATCTACATCTTCAACTAAAATCCAAAATGCTTCTGATGCTCCATGCACTTTTTCATCCCATTGAAAATCTGGTGTAATAGTTAATTCTACTCTTAAAGTAGAACGGGTAATTGGTTGAATATGCGTCGATAGTTCCAATTTTGTAAATTGATGAATATATTTATGAATAGTTTTACCAAGTTTAGGTACTCTAATCAATTCACCGATTTCATTGGGCCCTAAATCATATAATCTTTCCCAGGGAAAATTCTTTTTTTCTATTTTTTTTACGATCTCTTCTGGCATTTTTCTGAATTGTCTAAGAGGTGACATTGATTGCCACATTCTTCGATCTATCATTTTACATAAAGATAAACATTTATCTGCTAATTGTGCCCAACCTCGGAATAAAACAATTTCAAAAATAGCTCTCATTAATCGTGATGCAGATTGAGTAACAAATACCATATCAGACATAAGAGCAAATCCTTCAAGTTTTAATTGAGAGATATATGCTTGTAAAAGTACATTAACTTTTGCACTTGGCTCTTCTATACTTTCTTTCACTGGAATCGGTACTCTCTCCATCAATTTTTGCAATTCCAGTTTTTCTTCTTCTCTGACATTTATATGTTTAAATTCACTAGATAAAGAAAATACTCTAAACAATTCAATTTCACTCAAAGTACGTTTTAATAATTGATTATATATAGCCATCGTTTCATGAGTACAATAATAATGTGATGCAATTCGACCTAGTTCAGTAGCTTGAAAATTTCCAGATTTTCGATCATATTTAATTAAACCGCTACGATCTAATGCCACTGCGGCAGAATGAATAAGATCTGCTCTGTGCAATTCTAATAATGGATCCTCTTTTATTTTGTCCTGACTTATACCATATAAATTTGGGCAGCGAAGCATTCTAATATATAAATAAGTATATCCTAACCAAGTAACTGCATCTCTAATATTTTGTATAGTACCTAATACTATTTCTGCATTTAACATATCTGACATTTTACTAATTAATTGTGATTCAATAGGTAA